CGACACCATCCTCTTACTAGGATGTTTGTCTCCTTTGTACAAAATACTTCTTCAAAGTAAATACAAAGATATCTCTTTCAAAGTACAAAAAACGATTTGCCTTTTTCTTTACACTTGTGTTTTTATTTGCAAAAACGTCCAATGATTCATTAATGAACATATGCATTTGAACATAATTATTGTTTACAAATAAACAAAGTGGAAAAAGAACAATTACTGACAAGAATAGGAAAACATCTCTAGGCTATTCCATGAACAATCCCTACAGTACATCATTAGGATCCCCAGTGGAGCTGAAGCTTTCAATCCCCAGCAGAAATCATCCAGTTTCTCCAGGTTCCCCCAACAAGTTGTCTTGAAGCCTGAAAATCAACCAGATAACAGTTAACTTTTGTTTCTACCCAACCTAGGGTAACTCCCCAGTAGAGTGGAAGACGACCGAAACTCCTAAACTTTTTCCAAACAGGAATAAGTTTTTCCCCACAGAGTTTTTATTGCTCCTCGACAGAACAAAGACTCCCGTCAATAATCCCCAGTAGAAGTCATTAAAATTCTCTGGATTCCCCAAGCAGATTCCTCAAGAAGTATATGGCATTACTCTCACAACGGAATCCTCAGCAGCAGTCAAGGATTTATTTTCCTCAGCAGTACAGCAAATCAGCTTACATGCGCATACATTACATCCATATATTATAAACATTGATAAAGTACATATATTGCATCATACATTTCATGCAACATAACTTTGTGCTTCAGCTAACATTTTACCCTTTTCAGGATAAGATTAACAGCTACCATTAACAAATGTTCAAAGATTCTAGATATAGTACAGATACGCTCCAGACAAGGATGCCATTTTGATGCTCATTCAGATTTCAATTTCAAGATACAGTCCAGATACGCTCAAAACACGGTTGCCATTCTGTCACTCATTCAGATTTCAATTTCAAGATACAATCCAGATACGCTCCAGACACGGTTGCCATTTTGTCACTCATTCAGATTTCAATTTCAAGATATAGTCCAGATACGCTCCAGACACGGTTTCCATTCTGTCACTCATTCAGATTTCAATTTCAAGATACAGTCCAGATACGATCCAGACCCGGTTGCCATTTTGTCACTCATTCAGATTTCAATTTCAAGATACAGTCCAGATACGCTCCAGACACGGTTGCCATTTTGTCACTCATTCAGATTTAAATTTCAAGATACAGTCCAGATACGCTCTAGACATGGAAGCCATTCTGATACTCATTCAGGTTCATCTTTCATATACAGTCAAGATACGCTCCAGACACGGAATCCATTCTATTACTTATATAGATATTCATATTTAAGATACGATTCAGATACACTCTAGACACGGAAGTCATTCTGTTACTCATTCAGACCTCGAAGTACAGATACAGTACAGATACACTCTAGACACGGAAGCCATTCTGTCACTCATTCAGATTTCAATTTCAAGATACAGTCCAGATACGCTCCAGACACGGAAGCCATTCTGTTACTTATTCAGATATTCATCCTTCAGATACGGTTCAGATACACTCCAGACACAGAAGTCATTCTGTTAATCATTCAGACCTCGAAGTACAAATACAGTACAGATACACTCCAGACACGAAAGCCATTCTGTCACTCATTCAGATTTCAATTTCAAGATATAGTCCAGATACGCTCCAGACACGGAAGCCATTATGTCGCTTATTCAGATTTCAATTTCAAGATATAGTCCAGATACGCTACAGACACGGTTGCCATTTTGTCACTCATTCAGATTTAAATTTCAAGATACAGTCCAGATACGCTCTAGACATGGAAGCCATTCTGATACTCATTCAGGTTCATCTTTCAGATACAGTCAAGATACGCTCCAGACACGGAATCCATTCTATTACTTATTTAGATATTCATCTTTCGGATACGATTCAGATACACTCCAGACACGGAAGTCATTCTGTTACTCATTCAGACCTCGAAGTACAGATACAGTACAAATACACTCTAGACACGAAAGCCATTATGTCACTCATTCAGATTTCAATTTCAAGATACAGTCCAGATACGTTCCAGACACGGAAGCCATTATGTTACTTATTCAGATATTCATCCTTCAGATACGGTTCAGATACACTCCAGACACAGAAGTCATTTTGTTACTCATTCAGACCTCGAAGTACAGATACAGTACAGATACACTCCAGAAACGAAAGCCATTTTGTCACTCATTCAGATTTCAATTTCAAGATATAGTCCAGATACGCTCCAGACACGGAAGCCATTATGTCGCTTATCCAGGTTCATCTTTCAGATACAGTCCAGATACGCTCCAGAAACGGAAGCCATTCCGTTACTTATTCAGATATTCATCCTTCAGATACGGTTCAGATACACCCCAGACAGAGAAGTCATTATGTTACTCATTCAGACCTCGAAGTACAGATACAGTACAGATACACTCCAGACACGGAAGCCATTCTGTTACTTATTCAGATTTCAATTTTAAGATACAGTCCAGATACGCTCCAAACACGGAAGCCATTTTGTTACTTATTCAGATATTCATCCTTCAGATACGGTTCAGATACACTCCAGACATGGAAGTCATTTTGTTACTCATTCAGACCTCGAAATACAGATACATTACAGATACACTCCAGACACGGAAGCCACTCTGTCACTCATTCATATTTCAATTTTAAGATACAGTCCAGATACGCTCCAGACACGGAATCCATTCTATCGCTTATTCAGGTTCTTCCTTCAGATACATTTCAGATATGCTCCAGACACGGAAGTCATTCTGTTACTTATTCAGATTCAAGTACATATATAGTTCAAATACGTTCCAAATACGGACACCATTCTGAGGCTTACAACAAACACTCTTGGATGGCATCTACAAGCCCATCTCCAACAAGATTCTAACACCTCTCCGGATGGCATCTTTAAGCCCATTCCCTCAACTACACCTTTGTCGAGTGCAAATTTATAGGCACTCTAGTGTCCAATCATCTTTTACCTTCGAGTCACGAACGACAAAACTCGCTAATCTAACTCTTCAGGTTCAAGAAGATTGAACAGGGGAAGCTGTTGTACCCCAAAATTTGCCCTCCCATTTTTCATAGAAGACATAACCCTAGGGTTTCTCAGATATTCAAGTTGGCTCATAAATCGACCAGACATATTCTCTTTTGTGGCAGTAAACCAGCAATTAGGGTTTCTTGCAATTCTCAAAAGAAAATGAATTCTCAAAGATCCAATTGGCTTTCACAGGTCTTCATGCTTCCTCAAGGTTGTACTTATGATTTCTTCAAGCTACAAGATTTTGAGACATTTTTGTCTGTTCATGGTCAGATGTGATGTCGCTCATGGGTTTATCTTCAAAGAATCGGAAAAAAATTTGAGTTTGGAAAACTTTAAAATTATCAAATCATCGCAAGGCATTTGATTGATTTTGAATTTTCTTAAAACACAGTTTACTGAAAGGATAATGTTTGTTCTCAGAGCATGATTTGTTTGGGACAAGAGATAGAAGTTAAGACTGTCATTTAGGACACTTATGATTGTGGGATCCAGGTTGACCAGATGATTTACGTTCTTTAAAACATTTGCTTGGTTAGGAAATGGAATATACAGTGCGTGTTTGTTTGGAATGCATTTACAAAATTAGTGGGATTACTTGGAATTTAAGTTACCAGACTGGAGTATTTTGTTTCAAATATCTGATTGGGAATTTCAGAAATGAATTAGGATGCGAAGAGAAATTACAAGTTGTTGTTGATAAAGAATTTCAATTGACACCAGAATATTTCATGTTACAACTCAAGATTTTCTCTGATTTCAAACATTTGGTACAAAACAATTTATTCTTTAATACTTTATGTTTTACAACTTATTGTATTTAAAGATGGATTGGTACAATTATTGGATACAATACAAGAATGATTTTTCAAAATTATAAATAAAATCCAAATAAATGTTTGGCCTAGGAGAATTAATCTATGCCTAAGTTTGTCTGAAGATTGAAGCCGTATCAATTTCCTTTGCTTATCTCCAAGACTTCCTTACTTGCCACAGAGTTCTTGCCTTCCTTGCTTTGTCATATCCAATTGTGCTCACATGAAAACAAAAGAAAGAAAGAAATATGGTTAGTGCAAGTTATTTGGGCATGAACAAAATTTTCCAAAAAAAAGTATTCATCATTAAGGTTTGCAAAAATGGAATCAGAAGGCCATTTTATTTCATCACAGTCTATTTCCTATTTGCAAATCACAAGAAGGTTACCCTTATTGGTTCACAAAAAGAAAGAGGGAAAGAAATACTATAAAGCTGTCTAAACAAGCAAATGTTACAAAACTGTCCAACAAATGCTACAAGTTGTCCAAACAAGCAAATGTTACAAAACTGTCCAACAAATGCTACAAGCTGATAAACAAAATGCAAGCAAACTGCGCAAATTAGACAACAAACAGTAGCGCAAACTAGACAACAAACAGTAGCATTATCACAATTGTCCAAACAACAAACATCGTCAACAAAAGCTAAAGCAGGAAGCAGTGCAGCAGTTTGGCAAAATAAATAGCTAAGTCAAATAAGCAAAGCTTTCTCAAGAGGCAATACATAATCATTTTCCATGCAAACCTTTCAGAATTAGAAAAAAAGGCAAAAGAGAAATTTGCTTTTTTATTGTCATTGAGAGAGAAGAGAGGAAAGAAGTCACCTAGGTTATTGGAATGCACAGCCTTGCTGCCCTGCCTGTCACAAGTTGCATAGAATTTGCTAAAAAACAAAACTGCAACAAAAAGGCCATAAGGACAATATACTAAAATATTCAAATTTGTTGGTTTCCCACCATTTTGAATATGTATAACAGAATCAGGGTCAATATAACAGGGAGAGGGCGATAGAAAGAGGAGGACACAAATCTCAAACTGAAAATATAGTCAACAAAAACACACAAGTCTCAAACTGAGAAACCTGCTGAACCCTCATCACAACAGAAACAGTAAACCATCAAAACTCTCAAAAAACACAGTCACCATCTCCAAACTCATCAAACCTGAACCAAGCCAAACATCACCAAACTCAGAAAACTTGAAACAAGTCTCAAAATGAGGAACCAACAACATCATCAAAAAACCTGTCAAACTTAAAAACTCCAACAAAACACAAGCCTCAAGCAACAAATCTCAATACTGTAACCAAAACCTGTTAAACATCCAAAACCAAAAATCTCAACACTGTAACCAAAACATGTCAAACATCCAAAACCAAATATCACAACACTGTAACAAAAACCAGCAACAACCATCATCGAACCAAACCTGTAACAAGCCTAAAACCAAAACCAAATCAGTAACATATCCAAGAAAATTTTCAAACAGAACCATCTCAAAAAACCTAATAATCTGTCAACTATGACCAAACCAAAAACACAGTGACCAAGCATCAAACAAAAAGTCCCAAAACAGTAACAAACCACATAGATCCACAAAATTGTTAATCATCATCATTCAACAAAGAAAATAGAAGAAGTTACCAGCGAGTCTGAAAAAGCCACGCCCTCATCTCTTCCCCTCGTGCAACTCCGGCCACCAGTGAACACAGTCACCGTCTTGCCTCTCCCTTTCTAAATCACAGGAAATCGTAAAGCTCCAACAGGTATGGATTCTTCATCTTTCTCATAATTCCATTTCTCTGCATCTAAAATCATGAAGTAGTTAACAAAAAACACCAAGGTATAAAAAATCAACGAAATTTGTAACCTTATCGTTTTTCAAAGAAAATTGTTAGCACTTGATTAGGGAGGCGAGAACGATTGTATTCCGGCAACAGGGAGTGAGAGGGAGGACAAGGACGAATCAATTTCGTTTCTCTTAGGTTTAGGACCGAATTCGACAATTAGGGTTTCAGAGATGTAAATCACGGTGAGATAAGGAAGTAGCATGTTAATAGAGAGAGTGATTTCGTTCGCAAAAGGAAATTGGGACGAGTAGTGAGACTGTTCAGAGGTTTCAACAAAAAGATGAACAGAGATGAGAGAAAGAGGTGAAGAGCGGCGCTGTGAGTTACAAGGGTTCTAAGAACCCTAATTTTGTTTTGATCCCTTAATCAAATAACTAAGTTGAGGTTTAGAAACTTTGGCTTGGTTCTTTCTGTTGGATCTTAAAGCCCATGCGTTTTACTGATCATACCCCCCCCCCCCCCCCCCCTTGGCTTATCCTTTGTTACAGCAAGAGAACATTTTGTTTTGGGCCTCATCTCCAAAATCATTTAATCCCATACATTTTATTTAATTGGTTTTCTTCTTTTTTTCTTTTTTTTTTGTTATACAAAATGCTAATATAACTTAAAATACTTTTTTTTATTAATTTGATTTAGGTTTTGTATTTAATTTTTATCATGTTCTTTTCTTAATAAATTTGTTTTAGATTTAATTTTACACATAATAAAATACCAAAAAAATAATAATTTAGTTTGTTTTCTTTGTTTAAATTTACTTAAATTAATAAAATACAAAAAAATAAAGATTTTAATTTAATCAATTATTTTTATTTTTTAGAATAGGTTTTACTTTTCTCTTTTCAACTAAATACTTAACATTTCATTTCCATATTTTGTTGCTTTTATTTTCATGGATTATCATAGCTTTATATAAATCGTACAAAATTCGATTTGGTTGTATTGTTTGATATTTGGACCTTCCTATCTCATTTGATTCATCCCCATTTGTAAAAATTGTACCCCCATTCCCGAATATTTTGTAATAGCGTAGAATTTCAATTCCTGCAATTTACTGTTTTCCATATATTGTATAGTAATTAGGCGTGTATGGCAAGATTCAAAAATCAATCGCTAGATGACCTAATCAAAGAATAAAATAACTTGAAATCAACACACTTTTTCACACGCGCACCTCTAGAGTAACCTCGCTCGTTGCCTCGGAAATACAATCATGTCCCTCGAATATGGGACTCTCTAGCAATGACCCTTCGATAAAAAAGATCGTAGTCCCTCGATGACCCTCGATGTTGCCTTCGATTAAAATGATCTCGTCCCTTACAAAAGTTTCTAAAGTGTCTCATAAGTTGCTTTCGATGATTGTGCAATTGACCCGCGCCTGTCCCTTCACATCCAACGGTGGGGCTTCTTACCAAATAATGGTAAGATAGCACCATTAAAAGGAAGAAGAAAAGAACAATTTAAGACCTTTCGAGTAGATAGATTCGCTCTTAAGTTACTCGCTTGCTCACGATAAAAACTTTTCACACCAACACTTTCATTTCAAAACATTTTCAAAAAGACTAAACATTTTGTATACGTTCTTATAGAAACGAGAACCATTGCAAAACATCTTTTCAAAACACTTTCTAAAACACGATTCACAAACACATCTTTGAACCACTTTTCAAAACAAAACTTTGTACGCGTTCTTATAGAGACGAGAACCATTACAAAGAGATATTTTTCAAAATACTTTCAAAGCCCACACCGCAAGCACACTGTCAAATGAAAGCAAGTGATCTAAACGAGTAACTAAGAGCCCGTGGAAAACAATGGTTGAAAAGGGTGCTAATACATTCCCTTTTCATAATCTAGCCCCCGAACCCGAGAAAATCTCGAAAGGTCTTTCCTGTGCTTTTTTACCTTTCCTTTTGGATAAAAGAAAAGTCGGTGACGACTCTTGCTATCCGCACAAATGCGATCGAAACGCAAAACATCAAGTCAGTTATCCCACCGTATCACAGTGTCTGACACGGATACTGATATAATACAAGTTTTTAGAGGTTTCGATGCTGCATAGCAACAAAGCATTTCATCACTAGGTAGGTTATTATCAAAGTTCAAATATATGAAAAATTATAAACATTGAACAATGTTAAAAAATTGATATATATATATATATATATATATATATATATATATATATATATATATATATATATATATATATATATATATATATATATATATATATATATATATATATATATATATATATATATATATATATATATATATATATATATATATATATATATATATATATATATATATATATAAAGAATTGAAGTGGAGAAAAGAGATAGAGTTAGAGTGAGGGAGAGTGTGGTACCTTTAGTTCAGGTGATGTGTGCTTCTGCATTAAGGTTGTGAAGATGAGAACATATGTGTTGTGTGTCGATTGATAGCGAATCACGATTTTTGATTTTAGGGACTTTGAGTTAAGGTGTGAATTTTTTATAAATTTTGAGTTTGTGATTTAGAAGAAGCAATTGAAAGAATTAGTTTATAAAATTTCTATGTTTGGGAGGTAAGAGTTGAAATTTTGAGATTATATTAGTTTAAAAAAATTTTATTTTTGGAAGGGAAGAGTAAAAAGTTGAAAAAAATTGCAACGTCTTATAAAAATTATAAACATAACTTAAAACCATATCCGAACGGTTTATGCATTTTTTTTATTGAATATAGCATAACGGTTTTAAATATATAAATATATTAAAATAATTTAAAATTATATAAGAATGATTTTTATTTATTGTTAAAAAAGAGAGTAAAAAATCTTTTTATTTTTCATCTACAAGAATGTTTTTCAGTCGTTGTATATCATTTGCCAAAAATATTAACCCTACTGCAATGAAATATTAAATTTGTTGTCTATTACATTTACAAGAACAATTTTTTTACCTCACAAAAATTAAGAGTTATCGTAGAGTCAAATATTATAGCGCAAGGGGTTTATATTGAAGGTAACCAAAAGTTTTAAGATCATTTGCTTGTAAAGTAGTCCAGCAGTTGGGATGTCCCTACAATAAGTTTTGACTGGATATAACATTTAATTTTATGTCGGGGTACAAAACCGACCTAAAAATTTAATCTTTCCCAACATAAGAAGTGTTTTTTATACTAGTGTCACCTCCCTTGAGCTAAGCTTTTTGTCTATCCATTATCAAGCTTCTCGATAATGGTGATTTTTGCATTACAAAGATGAAGACTACAAAATTATTAGGATGCAGTCGGAGGAATTACATAGTTGAAAGATACTTGAAATATGATAGCCATTGGAGGGAGTCTCCCTTCTCATTTTTTCCTTCCCTTTTTCACGTTCATTCTATGCTTTTGAGAGGAACGAAAAACTTTTTAGAATGTCGGTCATTAAAGTAACAAGGCTTAATTATATAAGTAATTACCATGAAGTTTTCTTTCATCAAACAAATAAGAAGTTACCAAAATAACCTTGCTATTAAACCATATTACCAATGTAGGCCCTTTTGCTCAAATAGTGGATTTTGGAACTTTCTAAGTATACTTTCGACTCTATTAAATCTTGATTCAACTCAATTTATAGTATAAGATTAATGGGGATTTATCCAAATATCGATCATTTTGTCCTTGATTCTATAATTCTATAAATTTTGGTGAATAAACGGGTTTCAATTCAATTTTTCATACGGGGATATTACAAATTATTTTTCTTGTTGGAGATCATCTACTTTCTTCCATAATTTCTTTTGCACTATTAATAAACTAAGGCATAGGTATCATAATTGATTCAATGGTATACCATAGTTCTATAATATTTGTTTAAAGTTTTTCATTTGATGTTCAGATAAACATATGATAATATTTTCAAAAAATTTCTCTGTTAAATTTAATGTAAAAGCTATTGCAACAAGAATCAAGTAAATATATGGGTGAGAACGCATTGCAATTGAAGCCATTGAGAACACACACCTTGAACTGGTCAATAGTGGATATTATTTTCTCATCCATTTGATTGAATGATCAATAAAATTCAAAGGTAAAATATCCATTAATGTCAATGACTTATGATAAGTATTTTCATACACATATCATAAATTGAGGAGATTGGTTTCAATGATTTTAAGACACTAAAATCACGATAACTTTATGTAATTAATTGATCAATGGAAAATTATCTCCTTTCATGGGAAATAAAAACAATGTTACATGTGATAGTTAAAATTGAGATCGATGTAAAATTACCAAATGCATTTATTTTTAATTTTTATTGATAGAAGCCAAAATGATAATAATATTCGTACATTAACTTGTAAAGAGGTATAAGGCTACATTAGAGTGTATTTATTTGACAACAACATAGATGTCCTTGACAACTCCCACTTTTCAAACCTCGTCGTTCACATCTCTGTAAACAACTTTCATTAGATAATGGACATTCTGGTGTGTCAAAACAATCAGTCGTAATGTCATCACTCATAATTTCTTCATATCTTCTTGCACCACCTACAATGAATACAAATTTTTTTATATTGAGAAGGTGTTGTGGCATCAATTATTTTTATAAAATAATAAAAAATTATGTAGAGAATAAATAAGTATGTTACCTGGATGCAAAACTAAAGCTATACAAAGAATTGCAATGAAAAAATATACTCGATTGATAGCCATGTTTTCTGAAAATATGAATGGACAAACAACACCCGTAAAGTAATTATTTGTTGAATCTTCTACATATATTTATATAACAATTATGTTTGACTGTAATAAATAAAATATATGAAACAAAGAATATATTTTTAAAAAATGAATTTACTTGATAATAAAGAATAAGTTTGTTTTGGTCTTGAAAAACAATTTTTTTCTTTGTATTTTTAAAATGATTTTAATAAAAATATCATTTAAAATACTAAAAAAATATTTAAAATGTTTTTTTTAATTCAAATAATTAATTTTAATATTATATAACATAAATTTATATTATATAATAATACTATAGATAAAATCACAAAAAATTGTGTCTTAAAAACCATTTCTTCAAAAAGTTATTCAAAACAGCTTAAAAATTAGTCTTGTAAAACAAATATTTTCTTTGTATTTTTAAAATAATTTTAATGAAAATTTTATTTAAAATACAAAACAATTTTTTTTTGTAACATTCCATTTTGTCTAAGCATGTATGTGTATATATTTGGAATGCTAAAAAAAATTAGTAGCTAGTAAGAACTAAAGGAATTACTTAGAATATGACTAGATGACAAATTTATAAATATCACTTAGTTGAAGAACACTTTAAACATTAAGCATCTCACATGCAATTATACGGCCTTGTTTGGTAAATGGACATTCCAAATCATATATTTGATAGTGGAGTAGAGAGAGAGAGAAGGAGGTGAAGCTTATGTTCATCATCTCCTTTTCCATTTCCACACACTTTGAAAAGTATCCACTAAGCAGGTAATATCTGTTTACTCATAACTCTGTTTGAGTTGATTCCAGACTTTTTGAAAATCTTACAAAATTCTTTATGTTTTGCATATACATTTTTCATTATGGATATTTGTAATCAAGGAGATAAATGAGTTTGATGTTTGAGAATTCTTGCTGAAATGGGGAAAAATGGTGTTACATGATTGATGGTGATTGAAGTAGAACTTTGATTAAGATAGGAGTTCAATGGAAGCATATTCATCTTCCTAATCTACTTTGATGCAATGTGAGTTCCATTATATAGGAACTTGGGATAGGAATTGGGAATAATGCATGTTGGGATAAAGGGTTTTGATGAGAATGCCATGAAATTGCCTCTAATGCATGAATGTGATCCCCTTGTAGTACTTGTACGCATATGTACCCTTATTTCGTTCAATATGTTGTTGATTACTTCTTGCATATGGAAAATTGTAGTTTTGGAACCAAAAGTACGTAATATGCGTTTTCTGGTTTTCTCAAAAAATCATAGGTCGCGTTTAACGCGCAGAATGGCTCTTAGCGCTCTTTATCAGAAATCGAGAAAAATAAAAGCTACAGGTTGCGCTTAGCGCGAAAACTGTTGCCTCGTGATTTTAAACTTATTCATGGAGTGTAGTACCATTCCGCAACGATAATCAGACACATCCTTAATCTTCTATGACTTCTATGATCATGGTATGAGCGAAAAAGGCCTTAGAGAAGCCACTTAATTCTACACTATTAATATGAGTTACATTGGAAACATATGAAATGATAAATGAAAAGGATACATACATACATATATATATATATATATATATATATATATATATATATATATATATATATATATATATATATATATATATATATATATATATATATATATATATATATATATATATATATATATATATATATATATATATATATATATATATATATATATATATATATATATATATATATATATATGTGTGTGTGTGTGTGTGTGTGTGTGTGTGTGTGTGTTTCCATATATGCTATGTTATTATCCCTATGTCAATTATATGATTATGTACGAATGATAAATGACACATATTCATAATACATGTTATGACCCCTTATGTCACTTGTGTTATTATTCGTGCTTAAGAAATGAATTATGTAGGGTGCTATGTTGTGATCATTCAATTAAATTCTATGAAAATGAATGATAATACATGTATATGATGAAAATGTATTATTTCATAAATGATATTGTGTGATTATTTGTTAGTTCCCATTTTTTCCGGTTGAACGTTCATAAGTAATTTCTATGTGGCTTGATATGTTGTGTTTATTATACCGTGTTGTGTGATCTCGATAATATACCGTGATGTGTGATCTCAGTAGATGTATGCTTGAATCGAAGTAGGCCGACTACCAAGACGTAAATCACTTATGACCTCAACTAATATTGTGTGGTCTTTATTTTGTGCCATGCTATATGGTTTGGGATACCTTGTTATGTGGTCTAGGTATATCATACGCACTTGAGCTACTATTGTGATGCGCTTGTGTGAGTCCATAAGGCGTTTCCATCAGTAGTTAATAACATCGTGTGCTTGGTATGGTAGGGTTGTGATGCCATGTAGGAAATATGACTTTGTGGATTTCTAACTCACCTCTAATGGTGCCACATAGACAAAACTATTAGCCTTTCAGCAGGTGGGCTCGTGTTCTCAAGATCGCGTTTTTGTACCGGAGGATTTTAATCACATGTATTTTGATGATTGACTGGGTTGTGACGCCACATAGGAAATGTCACCGCTTTAACTCGTCACGGATGGAATTCCATTTAGGAATAATCTGATTCATTGTGTTGTGAGTGGTGCAAGTCTCCTAACACGATGCACGGGTGTAACTCACCGAGGGTGTTTAATGTAACTTGGTTAGGGGCATTAACATACTTTTGAATTCCTCGTATACGAGTATGTATCTTCATACTTGATTGTATTTGGCTATGTGTTTACTTAATCTCATTTGGATGTCAAGGGACTACCAATGGAGATTTCCCCTTTTGTGTACTTGCACCTAGCCGTGAGGCAACCCCTGATTCGCAATGAATCTATTTTGATGCATGCACCTTTTAGAAATGAGTGAACCCTTAAGATAGGGGAACTCACTGAGATTTAGAAATCTCACCCCAATTCTCTTATTATTTTCAAGAACATATTATAGGTAGAATAATTACTAGATGGTCGGTTTTGAAGACTACGGGCGAGTAGATGGCACGAAGGCCTCATCAGATTTTATCTTTCTTCTGTGCATTGTTGAGGACAAGTTGATTTTATACATTATGATATTCGAGTTGTGTTGTATACGATTTTAAATTTCTTGTCTTTTTCCAGCTTTTGTAGATGTTTCTATGTACCATTTTTAGCATTGCTGCATATTATTCTAGACATATATGTACAATGTGTTATAATTAGTATCGGAGCAAGTCGATTCTTGTCCATGCAATGAAACATTACTAGTAATTCTCTTCTCCATCATATGTTTGTGTGTTGCTAGCCCGATTTCTACTATTGTAGTATTCGGTCATTGAGCCAGATCATGTCACTGACTGCATATTCGATGGATAGGATCACGGTGGAGCCACCACGAGGATGTGTAAGATCCGAAGCAACTCAAGTTAATGTATTAGAAGCTGATTGAATTGGGATAATGTTGGGTTTGTTGAGTAAAGATGGATCGTTTGACGCAAAATGATTGACAACCTAACTTTCATGGAGAGATTTAAGACAACTGGAATTCCCAAAGCTTTGATTGGACGAAGTGAAATTCCTTTAGGTCCCTGTAGCAGTGGAGGAAATTCACGAGGCACTTGAGTAGAATTGTAATAAGAGAATTTTGTAATGGAGTGAAGTTTGAAACTATTAAAAATTCACGACTTAACCCTGGTTTCCAATGATGTGTACGGCTTGAGAACCAGCTGAATATAAAAGCTTTAGAGAATTTAAACAGGGAAGTCAAATCTTTCTAGTTACTCTAGTCTGGGTAGTAGTTGGATGGACAAGGTGTAAGATTCTAACTTTCTTTGGTGTACCCTAAGTGATGAGTAGTCACTAGTAAAGGATTGAAAGAATGAGCGGAAGTGATAATCTCAAATTGAGAAAATACTGGATGCCCGATTAGTGAAGGGACTACTCTATATCCGTTCTTGACAACCTGTGATTGAGCCGTAAAACTACGCTTGGCTTTGGGTAATTAGATGTATAGAAGCTAGTGTCTATCTGGAACATCAGTGGGATGAACGCAGTTGTGCCAGTTGTTTGGAACCATGGTATTCCTATATGGCGGAATTACCTTTAAAATCTATTATGCATGTAATGTACGGGTAATTACGCACATGGCATAATTGTTCGAGCTGAATTCTTACCCAGATGTATCTGGCTTGTTGACCTCCGAGTAAGTGGTGTTCTGATGCCATGTAGGGAATATCACTTCGTGGATTTCTAACTCACCTCTAATGGTGCCACATAAGAAAAACCATTAGCCTTTCGATATGTGGGCTTGTGTTATCAAGATGGCATTTTTGCACCGGAGGATTTTAATCACATGTGTTTTGATGATTGATGGGGCCGTGACGCCACATAGGCAATGTCACCATGTTAACTTCAATTTAGGAATGATCCAATTCTTTGTGTTGTGACTGGTGCAAGTCTCTTGATGCGATGCATGAGTGTAACTCACTAAGGGTGTGATAGTGTAACCTAGTTAAGGGAATTAACGTACTTCTAGGTTCCTCATATACGGGTACGGGTCTGCATACTTGATTTTATTTGGATATGTGTTTTCTTAATCTCATTGGGATGTCAAGGGACTACAAATGGAGATTTCCCCCTTTTGTGTACTTGCACCTAGCAATGAGGAAACCCCGGATTCATAGTGAATTTGTTTTGATGCATGCACCTTGTAGAATTGAGTGAACTCTTAAGATAGGGTAACTCACTGAGATTTAGTAATCTCACCCCAGTCCTCTTATTATTTTTTAAGAACAGGTTATATGTAGAATAATTGATAGATGGTCGATTTTGAAGACTGTAGGCGAGCAGATGGCAGGAAGACCTCATCATACTTTATCTTTCTGCTACGCATTGCTGAAGAAAAGTTGATTGTATACATTATGATATTTAAGTTGTGTTGTATAGGATTTTAAATTTCTTTTCTTTTTCCATCTTTTGTAGATTCTTTTA